TAAAAAATACTAAATCACTAATTGGCTAATTGCTTTCCTTGAACATATTCCTAATTAAGAAACTATCAATAACTATCAATAAAGGGAGATTTGTGTATGTTAAACTTAGTGGAGAAACACCTTGGTTTAAGAATATAACAAAGAAAATAACAAATGCTACCGCCAAACCAAAGTATTTTACCACTGTAAAATACTTGAAGAAAGACTGGTAACTGTGACTCCCTATGCTATATATATGAAGTATGCTAACTTAGTAATCTTGAAAATTCTGCTGACAGGCTGCCATGGCAGACCAGGTAAAAGAAAACAGAATTTAGAGGCTGTAGGTCAAAGTGACTAAGGTCAACTCACTGAAAGATAATTTGCAGGGCACCTGGAGTCACTATCTCTCAGGTACTAATGGACAATTATAATGCAAATTTGTTTTTAACATGTGGCTTTGTCAAAAATTATGTTTTATCATACAGGTCTTTAAAAAATCTAGTAACTTTAAAAACAAATTCCTTCAACTATGTTTTTAGATGTTATGTTTTTAAGCATTAAGGGTATATTATGCAAAAACATTAAAGATATTTGGAATTTTAGAGCATTTTCTGATTTAGGGGTTAGGGATAAACAAAGCAGTAACATCTTCAAAAATACAAGATTCTAAAAATCCTAAAATAGTTCTCAAATCTGAAGCACCTTTGGTCTCAAGCATTTCAGATAAGATATATTTAATCTATGTTTACGGTTTTCTTTAAACAATTTATGTGATCTTTATTATATTTCTAATTGTTGGTATGCTGAGGTTCAGCAATTTGTTTAGACTAAAATAAGACTAAGTGGCCAAATTTAAAGTAAATAAGACTATGTTCATGAAATTTAAGTAACAAATTCATTTCTGAAAACTATTTTGTTTTTACCATTTAAAATTTTTCAGTTGTGTCCAGATGTCTCTGACCATATAACTGTTCCTAATTTTTAAAATACTACAAGTGCTCTAAAGTTAGATTCTATTAAGTCCACTGAAATTTCAGAGGATATATCATTGGACTTATCTGACTGAATTCAAGTTCAATTATTTTTTCTAATTTTTTAAAAATTATTTTTAAGTAACTTATATAGGAGTTGCCATTCAGCAAAGCCGTTTATGAACACATCCTTCCCCCACGCTTCCCTTGCTTTTCTTAATTTTGTAGTATACACACTGAATTCTTGTCTACATTTTCCTCTTCTTATCTTCTTCATTAATCTATCCTTTTCTCCTTGGCTCCACTCCACCCCTTTGATTACCCTCTTCCTAGTGTTTTATTTTGCTTAGCTTCAATTTTGCTTTGCTAAGGAATTATACTATTTGAAATTTCCCCTGAATCTACTGTATTTCAATTAATACATTTGTATATACTTGCACACCACCTGACATATTTACTTATGAGTTTGTAAGCTACATTTAGCTTCCACATATAAGGAGTCCTTTTTATCTCTGGGACTAGCTTCACTCAATATACCATTGAGATTCTAGTTAAAATGCCCATTATCAAGAAAATAAACAGTAACAGATACTAGGGAGGATGCCATCCTAATACACTATTGATTGGAATGAAAACTAGTACAACAGCTCTGAAAAGCAATATGGAGGTTGTTCAAAACAAATCAAACAAAAAACTACCCTATGATTCAGCAACTCCACTCCTGGACATTTATCCAAAAGAAATCACAAACTGATACGGTAAAGTTACCAGCATAACAATGTTCATTGCAGCATTATTCACTATAGCCAAAGTATGAAATCAGCTCAAAAGCCCCATAATAGACAAAAGGATCCAGAACTTTAGTCAATTGTTTTTGTATTTCTACTTATTCTGAGTCAATAAAGAGTCATTTATATTTTAATTAAGATTCACCACTCCCTGATGACAGTGTGAACTTAAAACAAGTCTAAAACAAACAAATATACAAATATTCTGACTGTATTTCAAGAAAAATGTCTAAATTTAATTCTTTAAAAATTAAGGCAAAGTTCGTTTTCGACATAACGACTTGTACATCGCATTGTTGCAATGGGTCCACCTGTATCCCTATTTAAACAATTTGTTTTTCCCCTTCCCCTCCAGATTAGACCTGGTTCATATATATATAATAAGTCTTTTTACTGTATTTTCACAATTTACAATAGGTCAAAATAACTAAGTTTCAATCTTTTTTCCCTTTGGTTAGATTTGAATTCAGGACCTTGTGCTCTGCCACTCTAAGCCACATTTTAGCCCTTTTTTGCCTTTTTTCACGGATCTTACATATTTTCTGGGAGTGAGCCTCACACAACGATTCTCCAGATCTTTGCCTCCTGAGTAGTATGATTATAGACTTGAGCCACTGTGAGTGCCTCTCATTCTTACTTAGTAATTATACTGTTGCATACTGTGTGATACTACTAAAAAAAAAAGAGCATGAATCAAATGTTTTTACTTCATGTTTCAGATTTATGTCTGATTTTAAAGGTTTTATTAAGCTTGTACTTGTACTAACTTTAGTGTTTGACAATGACTTCAACATAAGCTACAAAATAACATTATAGAAGCTAAGTCTTTCAAAATTGTATTTTAGTGAAGACAGGAAATTAATTATGAATTATGATAATAAATGAAAACATATTTAAACTATGTTTGAATTCATTAAATTTCCTAATCAGTAATATAGCTTATAATGAAAATGATATATTCCAAACTATACTAACCATACTGTTTTAATTAAATAAAAGACCAACTAACAAAATGAATTTGCCACACCTTCCTCCAAGAGTGAAAGCACTGTATAAGAACGACAAGAAAGTGGGTAGGAGGGGCTGGGAAGGTGGCTCAGCGGTAGAGCGCTTGCTTTGAATGCTTGAGGCCCTGAGTTCAATTTCTCAGCACCACATAAGCAGAAAAAGCCGGAAGTGGCATTATAGCTCAAATGGTAGAGCGCTCGCCTTGAGCTGAAGAGCAGCACTCCGGCCTAGAGTTCAGGCCCCACAACCGACAAAAAAAAGAAAAAAAAGTGGGTAAGAGAAAATATTAATTCAATGTATTCCAAATATAAAGAATGCTCCAAAAGCAACAATAAGAAAACAATTCAGCAACCAACTAAGCAACTATTTGAATAAGTTCTTCACCAAAGAAAGGTAATTCGATATATGAAAAACTATTTCTCATTGAAACAATTTTAGATGCAAATACAATTGCATACCTATTAGCAAATCTAAAACTGGTAAGAGCCACAAGTAATTCAAACATTTATGAAATACTAGAAACATGGTGGTAAAAAAAACAAAGTTTTGTGTTGCCTTAAAAAGCTGAACATATAATTATTATATGACTCAGTTCTATATTTAAAAAGTTAAATACATTTAATCACATGACTCAGCCATTCTAGTCATACACATTTATTCCAAGAAAAATGAGAAGACATATTTACAAAAAGACTCACGCATAAATGTTCATAGTTCAAACATAAATGTCTGTAATAGTCTCAAACTGGAAACAAGGAAAATGTCAATCAACAAGTAAATGTATAAACAGACCACAGCACATCAACAAGGTATATCTATTTTAAAACAAACTATTGAACATACAATAGTTGTACTCATAATCTCTCAAAATTATGCAAGTGCAAGTACCAAGACCAAGCAAGGAAACATACTGTATGAATCTCCTTGCATAAAATGTGAGAACATAGAAACATACATAGTCTTGTTCTCTTAAGAGTTTCATTTCCTATAGATTCACTTATATATGTATAAGGGGTTAAAATATTAATATTTGTCTGATTTCTTCCAAGAGATACCACATTCATGCAACTTTACAATATCTTGCTAAAACTGTTCCATCGTTTGTTAATCTCTTACTATACTAAATTATAAAGTAATACTCTAGGATAGTTGTATATATGTGTGTAGTAAATATATAATATATAGATAATGTGGTACTATTTACAGGTTCAGGGACTCAGTAGAAGTGTTGGAACACATTCGTGGACAGGAGATAATCATGTGTTTGGCTGTGTGTTTCACATTTTCTGAGAATGTGAAATGGAAGCCAGTGAAGGACTGAGATTACAAAAGGCACTTAGGAAACTACTGGCAATGAACATGTGCATGAGTGTGTAATATGGGGCTGAGAAGGTGGCTCAGTGGTAGATCGCTTGCCTTGCATGCATGAGGCCCTGGGTTCGATTCCTCAGCACCACATAAGCAGAAAAAAAAAGAGGCCAAAAGTGGTGCTACGGCTCAAGTGGTAGCGTGCTAGCCTTGAGTTGAAGAGCTAAGGGACAGCGCCCAGGCCCAGAGTTCAGGCCCACGACCGGACCCCGCCCCCTAAAAAATGTTTAATGGTCCACCATCCCCGCCCCCTAAAAAATGTTTAATGGTCCACCATCATTCTTTCCAATAAATCAAAAGACAAGTACAGACCTATAAACCCAGAAACCCAGATTCATAGGAGTTCCAGACAATCATAGTTCCAAGCCAGACTAGGCAAAATTCTTCTATAAATTTTTAAGTGGCCAAGCACTCACACTTATAATCCTAGGTACTCAGGAGGCTGATGTCTGAGGTACATACTTCAAAGCCAGCCCAGGTAGGAAAGTCTGTGAGACTCTTATCTCCAATTAAAACAGAAAGAAAATTATGTAACTGTAACCCCTCTGTACATTACCTTGACAGTTAAAAAAAAAAAAAGGAAAAAAAAAGAAACAAAACTATGCCAAAGCAGAAAGTAGAACTGTGGCTATAACACTAGTTATGAGCACAAAAACCCAAGAGAAGTGCCCAGGTCCTGAGTTCAAGCCCGAGTAACTAGCATAAAAAATTTAAAAACAACAACAACAAATGGTCTGGATCAGTGAGAGAAAGGGGAATAGAAGAAAGTCTTCTTAAACAAAAATAATTTCCAAAAAAAGTACAATGAAAGACACAGATTTTGGCAGTATGGTTTAGAAATACTATATTTTAGATTTTTTAAAATACATTCACGAGTACATACCTGATATAGAAGGTCTTTTTGAGGCAAAGGAGGGGACTGTTCTTCATAAGCGGGAGGTGGTTTATGGGTGGGTGGAAGATCGATCCTGCATTGAACAGTTTTAAGAGGTGACTGTTATTTATTTTTAAAAAGGAGAAACTTAAACCACTTTGTACAACTAAAATGAGAATATCAATTAAAATTTCAAAAAAATCAAGATTCTCAAGTTTGGGGATATTTTTCTCATAAAACAAAATGTACTATTCTATCCTACACATCTGATTGTTTTAAGTCCCCTTTATAACCAGTCAAACAGAAAATAAAAGTAAACATTGATTCTAATGCTAAGGACCAAAACATTTGGTTTATATATTGAGTTAAAGAAGCAATTCAAATGCATAAATATTTTGAATATAAATTAGCGTTTCATGGCCAGGTGGTAAGATATCTAATACACTGTCAATAAAAACTCATCTAATTTGCCCCTACTAGCCCTTTGACATTGCTCAGTTAGTAAAAACTAATTCTAAGATATTCTGATCAAACAATCAGCTGTTAACAAAAATGATTGACAGGAAGCTAATATATGTCTTGTACTGTAGAGTAAAAGAGTAAAAGCAAGTGGGCAGAAAATGGATACAATCATAATGAAAACAGAGTTATAATACACAATGTATATGTAAAAGTGGAACTAGGAAACAGGTGGAGATGAAACAGATGAGTGTGGAGGGTGAGGGAGAGGGTGACACTGGATCAAGATAAACTGCACACACAGACATGTTAAACTGAAACCCTGTTATACAACTATTTGAAGTTAATAATAGTAATACAATGAGGAAATCACACTTCAGATATAACTGATGCCTAGTAAGCATTCACTGTTGGACATAGACAACAAAGATACCTACACTTTGTCAAGATAGGATGGTCTCTTTTTCCGGGGAGTAAGCAGCACAGTCACAAAGACAGCAATGATGAAAATGGCAAGGACAGCCCCAATCACAGCTCCAGCTACGGCTATGGAAGAGGTCTGTTTAAATGGAATCTCTGTAAAGCAAGAAACATTAAGTCATTCAAATAATTTTAAAGGGGTCTTAAAATTGCGCACCTTAATTTTGAACACTGTGCAAAGGTAAACACCTAATCTATTAATATTACTGTAATGTGCCGTGCATTTTCATAAATGTTAAGTATTGACAGGACAAAACTATCCATGTGTGTATCATGTGTGTATTTTAACAATTCTAGTCAGATTAAACCCAGTAAAAATTTTGGGGTGATTCATGTTACAAAGTTTCTTCAGCCATGGAATTGTTTCATGCCTCTAGCCAATAAGAAAGATATCAAAGATAACATTTTGTAAATGAAGACACTGTGACTCCAAAGTTGAATAGTCTGGCAAAGGTCAGCCAATCAACAGTACAAAACAAAGGCTAAAGTTAGGTTTTGTAAGTTTTATAAGGTAGACTTGCATTCGGGGTGCCCTGTTCATCATACAAAGTTCTACATTTCACTAAAACAGGTTTATTCACATACCTCTTAAATAATTGCCATTACTCTTAGGATCCAGACATGGAAAACTGAAATAGAATTAAAGCACTATCACCTTTGAAATGTTTCTTGTACTCACCTCCAGATTACTTTTTGCCAACTTTTTCAGATGTGATATGGTGTTTAGATGGCTAAAATGAGTATTTTCCTTCCAAAAGTAAATTTTTTCTTTAATAAACTAACACCACCAGATTACTGATTTGTTTTCTTAGCCACGTTTTAAGACTGTAACTTCTACACGTGTTCCAAAGTCTTTCAATGAGCACAATCTAAAAGTATTTATAATCATCCTCAAACTATGTAACTTTTGCATGTCAATGCAGTTCATATGATCCATAATTGCTCATTAGTCTATCTCAATTTGAGTATGTGCTGAATGAGAGAAGACTCGAGATCCAGTGCAAATTTACTCAAGCACATGTAACTGTGAGATTTGGAATGACTCATTGATAATTTGTTACCACTTTCCCAAACATGTAATTTATAAGTCTGGACAAAGTTATAGAGGACTATACTCCTACTTCAATACTATGCCAGTTGAAACCTATTAAGGTGATTGGAACAGGGTCCTTTATCTTGTGCAGTAACACAAATAAAATTCCAATAGTCAAATTTGCTACTCATTTCACATTAGTTCCTTAAATATTTCTGTTTAATGAATACTTTTTACATTTATTCATGAGTAAAGTAGCTTATCATTTCCCCCAAGTATACAGATTTTAAATTTATGAGTTAATTATTTATAACCAATGAGGTTATATGTAACAATGAAGTTAACATCGTCTACATAGTAATATTCAAGAAAACTTTTGCGTATGAGCCCCAGTTAAGATTTTAAAACTACAGATTATAAATTCCTTAAATCTCACATTCCCTCAAAGCCCTTCATTTAATCTCAGCAATAACCTGAAATTTGATGGCGATTTTAAAGCAATAAACCATGTCACATTTTTAACATCCTACAGAAATTTTCAAGTCTAACAGTTTTAAAAGTATTTTAGTTATTCAGTTCTGTCTTATAACTTCTAGCTTAGGTGTTTATAGCTGAAAATTGACTATGTATACCACTTTCCTTCCCTAAATTTGGCAGCTTTATTTCACCTGATCCACTTATTTTATATTCTTGTGTTTTTCCCCCCACATCTTTTCTTAGTAACAGAATAAGCTATTAAGTCTTGAAGTGAGTATCTGGGAAAAAGAGAAACAGAGTATGATCCATTATCAACTAGATAATCTACTCTACATAGTCAAATTGTATTGTATATATTGTATATATACACAATATATTGTATATATACACAATACAATATACTATATATATATATATATTGTATTATTGCTTTTCTTCTAATGGGAAAAAGAATGTGGTAGATGATATTAATAAATGATGAATACCCATATGAATTAAAAACATGCAAATTCTTTTGCATTCAAACCTGAGTATTTAGACAAAAATTTAGGATTAAATTTCCTCAGATGTAAGCCCATAAATAACATATATTGCCGTACCTTTTATTAACACTTAGCTCTATACTTTATTCCAGAAAAAAAAAAACTATCAGAGGAAAAAAAATGCCAATGTATAAAAACTTGGCATTTTTCAATGTGAAGCTAGTTTGGTAGCAAAGCAACACTACCACCATCCAACAAAGGTCTAATTTTTATAAGTGGCAGAAAACAAAGACAGTGTCACAACAAAAAGTTTGTATGCATGCCTAAAAATAGCTTGCTGTTTAGATATCATAACTCACATTCATTGGAAACACCTCAAAGTGAAAAATAACAGCACTCTCCAGTACAACAAAAGTGCATATGCTCAAGTATCAGTTACAAACTTACCTCCTCTAACTTAATACAAATTGAAACTTTGATTTTGGGATATTTGGTAAATGTAAAGTATTAAAATAATTAAAATTTTAATCTTATTCTGATAGAATCCAATAAAAAATCTGAAAGCCAATCGGGCATATGTGTGTATCTAATCCATTTCCAAAACTACACTTTCTTCTTTTCAGTCTCTTTACCAAGAGTTTAGAGATATTATATTTATTTAATCCCATACTACATCATTGTATTGCCAACATTTCCCCCATTATTCTTTTCAGGGCTGAGGACCCAACTCAGATCTTTATATATGCCAATTAAGTGCTTTTCCACAAAAGGACTTAGAACATAGACTTTTTTTTCTTTTAACAACATCCATACCTTTATCTTCTTAGAATTTCTGTGGAAAATACTTATCCCTAATGTTTAATAAGAAACATGTAATAGCTCAGCTCCAAATTTAACAACTTACCCAGTATCTAAGACATACCGTACATTGTGCCAAGTCTAGGAATAGAAGGATGCAGTTTATGTAATTTTGGTCCTCACCAAACGTAAAAAAAAAAAAAAAAATTCCCAACCCATTTTACAGAACTCATGAAATATATGGTATATATACAAATCACAACTTATCTTAAAAATTAGTAAAGAAAATGTTTAATAGTGTATAAACCATAAATTGGCAATAATAGTTCTACTTGGTCAGCATATTGTTTACCCTCTACACAGGGTATCTACAGAATGGTACGGGAGAAATGAGAGAGTTCTAAAATGAAACTGAGTTATAATTTCATTTAGGTTTTTCTTCTCAGCATATTCATCAACCTGTGATCAAGGGCTACTCAGTTAAGTAAATTAATATTTAAACTTAACAACCAAATGTAGAGGAGGAATTGCATGGATGCTCCACGTGAGAAGTGAGCACATGACACATGAACCATTTGGGAGTATTGATGCTACTCTGTTAAACACTAGATAAGTATTTATTCCTAGTAAATGTCATTAAAGCAAAAGAATTGGTATAAAGAAGATACAAACATAATGTAGGTACAAGTAACAACAAAAATCAATGCAAACATCTTACTAACAATGCACATTATTTAGTTACATCATAAAGTAAAACCATGACAATTTAATGTGACATGACAAAGCAACCAAAAAAATTCAAATATATCAGAAGACAGATTTGCATTCACTCATTTAACTAATTCACATAAACCCATAATGGTCTCAAAGTAGCTATTGTGATGCTGTAATCATGCTCAGCAAGACAATGGAAACCAAACACTTCATACAATAAAGGTCTAAAAATAATGTCTGAGTGAGATTGTTTAAGTTCCTAACAATGTACCCCAACTTCCATTTGCATCTAGATGGTTGCATTTTAGCTCTCACAATTATCAAATATCAACATATACTGACTCTGTGTAAAATTTCTTGAATCACTAAATCAGACGGTATAGAACTAAGATTAAAAAGCAACTGAAACACATTCAATTATATTTTCAAAAAAATTAGTGAGAAGTCCATCTAGCTTTTAAAATGAAATACAATCATACTGTTTCCCAAAAATAGTTTTATCAGTTAAATTTTCCATTTTGAGTATTTTAGAAAGTACTAAAGTGATCACTTTACTAGTACAAGACTACATAATTATTTTTAACTGATACCGTTTCCCATTCATTAAGGGGAAAAAAAACAGGAAAAAACTATTATAAAACATAAAGTTGTATAGATATAAATTGATACTATGGGCAGCAATAACTTATTTTGAGTAAGTTTGTAAATTTCACAAATCTGTCACTTGAACTAGACTTTGGCCTCCTGATGTGGAAAAGAGGAAATGAAAATTTTAGGTTGAGTAGAAAAAATATGTATATAATTAATGTCAAAGAATATCATGTGACAAGAGAATGGTTATAATGAACTAGGCACTGAATAGGTTCTGTTCATATCTAGGCATTGAGTACCAATAAATGGTTGTTAGATTCAAAGCAGAAAAAGCAAGTATTTCACACTTCCTGATGATAGAACACATACCACTTATGAAGTAGTCTTTAAAAAGTTAAACACAAATCACTAAGACTTTTGATCTCACAATCAATTTCAGAAAAACAGAACAATCCAAACTGGGAAATTATAGAAAAAACAATTACACAGTTTCTCCAAGAAATAAATTGCAAAGAGAAAATGAGGGGCATTGCAAGGAACAAATGAAAAGATATTCCTAGCAATTATAATACATGGGTCATACTGGAATTCTGATTAATCTACAATAAAATATATGAAAAATTTGAACAGGCACTACTTGATATTAGGGGAATACTTTTAGTCAAGATTACTAGGATAAGTTTTAATCATTGTTTTGAGAATTACTGACATATTTACAAATGCAATAATGGCAAGAAGGATTATTTGAGTAAGAGCTTAAATAAGATTGATGAATTGACAGTAATTGAAGCTAATACATGGTGATTCATTAATTTTGGTAATTTCTAATTCTTCATTTAAAAAAAAAACGGAGGCCACAGCTTCTATATTAACTTGTCCCTTCATGTCTTGTCCCTGAGATATTTCTCATAACTGAGATGATAATTATATATTTCTACACAGAAATATTATATGTGTAAGGCAATGAGGCTTCAACTTATTCTCAAGTTTTGAAGATCATT